AATAAAAAATTTGAAAAAAAAAAAAAAAAAAAAAAAAAAGATAAATATACAAATAAATAAATTAAAAAAAGAAAATAAATATATAAGAGATATAAGTAAATAATAGTAATATCATATTAAAACAAAATAATAACTTCAAAATTTCTAACGTTCCAATATATAAGTAATACTTTTTATATATACACATACATATGTAAATATAAATACACCCCCAAAAAAAAATAATTACACTGGAAAACATTTAACTTTTTTCTTTCCCGTATAAGTGTTTATTCTATAAAAAAAAAAAAAAAAAGTTATAATTTTCATTTATAAAAAAAAAAATTCTAATGTTTTCTATTTTTAATATATGAATATGCATTTTGTATTTTTTATTTTATTTTGTTATTTTTTTTTTTTTCAATTTACTTCTTTGTAATATTTATTAGTTTCGTAAAGTGATTGGCAGATTGGAACAAAAGCCATTAGAAATATAATACCATAGAGATAATTCATTATAGGTATTCTTATTCCTTTTGGCAAATTAGTAGCTACATTATCAACATTAGTTTCATAATCTTTCAAATTTTTTTTATCAGTACTCATATTTCTTTTTAATTGATTATTAACATTTTTATTTAATGAAAAAAACAAGTTTCTACTTGTTTGGTTTTTATAAAATATAGCTTTTATGTGATTCATGTTTTTTTTTTTTTTTTTTTTTAAGTGTAAATTCAGATATAAATGAATTTGCAATTTTCTAAAAAAATAATGTAAATTTTTTATAAAATTTTTTTTTTAGTAATAATTTTATTAAATACTTTTTTTTCTCAAATTTATATATATATATATCAAATTTTTTATATACTAAATTTTTTTTTTAGTATCATTGATATTTAATTACAATTTATTTTTTCTTTTTTCTGTTATGCATGAAAACAAAATTTTTATTACATACTTCAAAGAGCACCCTCCAAAAAAAAAAAAAAAAAAAAAAAAAAAAAATCATTTATATATACATATTAAAAATATAATATGGTTAAAATGTTTAAAAAAAAATAATATTAAATATAATAAAAGAAAATTTT